AAGGATTTAGCTTACAGAAAGGCAGCCGACTTGATGTGGCATATCTTTAGTGACTTTGAGGAACTGAAGGCCTCTTATCCAAACATCACCATTCTTTGGGCCTTGTTGATGGAAAGCAGGGTTTGGAGAGAGAGCAGGTGCCCGATAGCCATAAATAGGGCTAGGGAAAGCCTTGGATCGGGCGGTGGTGCGTAGAGTGGCAGCCCTGGGTGGGTGGGTCATGGACCACCCGGGCAACTGCGAGGCCCTCTACTGGCTTGATGGCGTGCATCTTTCGGATGCGGGAAATGATATTTGGCTTGATGGCTCGCATCTTTCAGATGCGGGAAATGACATGTGGCTTACTGATATAGCAAAGGGGGTAAGGGATTGGTTTCAGGCATGAGAGTATTGGCGGCGAGCGATTGCTCGTGTGGCGGTAGGCATTGGTAAGAAGGGGTTAAGAGGATGTGGGGGGGAGGAGGAACGCCATCACCTCCCCCCAGTGAGCGAAGGGTGGTCCGTTAAAGGACTCCGGGGGGCGTGGCCCTGTCCGAAGCCTATGGAGGTGTGGGCCGGGGAGCTCCTAGTCGACGTGCCTCGGCGGGAGACTCCCCGATATAGTGTTAACCCTTCCCGTGTCTCCAGCAAATGGGCTGGAGCCGGATAGTCGTTAGGACCAATGCCTAAGCCAATGCCTCTCATTCCTGAATTCAATAAAGTTGTGGCCTAATTCGCCCATTTAACCTTAAACCATGGTGTCTCGTGTCTTTATTTATCCTGGTGGGGGGCGGGAACTCGCCACGCAATCAAAGCTTATTTGTCTTCCTTCTACGTATATGGAAGCGAAAAGACAATGCTGTGTTATTTTGGTCTCATTACACACACATTGAGAATTCTGGGTCAACGTGCATCAACACCAAAGAACACGACGAATTAAGCGAAATCAAAGATTCTTCGTTCTATGTAGCTGGAACCCAAAAGAACCTATTTAGCTTTGTTTAGGCTTATTACAATTCGCTTTGCTAATTGTGCGTGAATGAACACCGAAAGAACAATGCAAGCTTATTCGTCCACTTTCTATTGAGATGGAACCAAAGCACCTATGCTTGGTTTGGGCTGATAAAAAACATGTCACTCTGCAATTTTTGGGTGAATGTGCATTCTAACCCCAAAAACACCAATTTGAAATGAGCCCAATCAGAGCTTTATCATCTTCATGTAGTTGGAAGCCAAAACACCTTTTTGCTTTGGTTGGGGGTGATTCTGGTGCACACCCAAAAAACACCATTCGAATAGAAATAAGCACAATCAAAGCTTATTCGTCTTCTTTCTACGCGTATGGAAGCGAAAAGACGGTGTTGTGTTATTTTGATCTCATTACACACACATTGCGATTTTTGGGTCAATGAGCATTAACACCAAAGAACACGAAATAAGCAAAATCCAAGATTCTTCTTTCTATGTTGCTGCAACCCAAAACAACCTGTTTGGCTTTGTTTTGGCTTATAACACTTTGCTTTGCTATTTGTGGGGGACTGAACACCGAAAGAACAATGCAAGCTTATTCGTCCTCTTTCTATTGAGATGGAACCAAAACACCTATGCTTGGTTTGGGCTAATAATGAACATGTCACTCTGCGATTTTTGGGTGAATGTGCATTCTAACCCCAAAACCACCAATTTGAAATAAGCCCAATCAGAGCTTTAGCATCTTTATTTTTATGTAGCTGGAACCCAAAAGACCTTTTTGCTTTGGTTGGGGGTGATTCTGGTGCACACCCATAAAACCCCATGCGAATTGAAATAAGCACAATCAAAGCTTATTTGTCTTCTTTCTAGGCATAGGGAAGCGAAAAGACAGTGTTGTGTTATTTTGGTCTCATTACACACACTTTGCGAATTCTGAGTGAATGTGCATTAACACCAAAGAACACGAAATAAGCAAAATCCAAGATTCTTCTTTCTATGTTGCTGCAACCCAAAACAACCTGTTTGGCTATGTTTAGGCTTATTACAATTCCCTTTGCTATTTGTGAGTGAATGAACACCGAAAGAACAATGCAAGCTTATTCGTCCTCTTTCTATTGAGATGGAACCAAAACACGTATGCTTGGTTTGAGCTGATAACAAACATGTCACTCTGCGATTTTTGGGTGATTGTGCATTCTAACCCCAAAAACACCAATTTGAAAAGCCCAATCAGAGCTTTATCATCTTCTTTTTATGTAGATGGAACCCAAAAGACCTTTTTGCTTTGGTTAGGGGTGATTCTGGTGCACACCCATAAAACCCCATGCGAATTGAAATAAGCACAATCAAAGCTTATTTGTCTTCTTTCTACGCATATGGAAGCGTAAAGACGGTGTTGTGTTCTTTTGGTCCCATCTCAATAGAAAGAGGACGAATAAGCTTGCATTGTTCTTTCGGTGTTCAGTCCCCCACAAATAGCAAAGCAAAGTGTAATAAGCCAAAACAAAGCCAAACAGGTTGTTTTGGGTTGCAGCAACATAGAAAGAAGAATCTTGGATTTTGCTTATTTCGTGTTCTTTGGTGTTAATGCTCATTGACCCAAAAATCGCAATGTGTGTGTAATGAGATCAAAATAACACAACACCGTCTTTTCGCTTCCATACGTGTAGAAAGAAGACAAATAAGCTTTGATTATGCTTATTTCTATTCGCATGGGGTTTTTTGGGTGTGCACCAGAATCACCCCCAACCAAAGCAAAAAGGTGTTTTGGCTTCCAACTACATAAAAAGAAGATGATAAAGCTCTGATTGGGCTCATTTCAAATTGGTGTTTTTGGGGTTAGAATGCACATTCACCCAAAAATCGCAGAGTGACATGTTTATTATCAGCCCAAACCAAGCATTGGTGCTTTGGTTCCATCTCAATAGAAAGTGGACGAATAAGGTTGTATTGTTATTTCTGTGTTCATTCACGCACAATTAGCAAAGCGAATTGTAATAAGCCTAAACAAAGCTAAATAGGTTCTTTTGGGTTCCAGCTACATAGAACGAAGAATCTTTGATTTCGCTTAATTCGTCGTGTTCTTTGGTGTTAATGCACGTTGACCCAGAAATCTCAATGTGTGTGTAATGAGACCAAAATAACACAGCATTGTCTTTTCGCTTCCATATACGTAGAAGGAAGACAAATAAGCTTTGATTGCGTGGCGAGTTCCCGCCCCCCACCAGGATAAATAAAGACACGAGACACCATGGTTTAAGGTTAAATGGGCGAATTAGGCCACAACTTTATTGAATTCAGGAATGAGAGGCATTGGCTTAGGCATTGGTCCTAACGACTATCCGGCTCCAGCCCATTTGCTGGAGACACGGGGAAGGGTTAACACTATATCGGGGAGTCTCCCGCCGAGGCACGTCGACTAGGAGCTCCCCCGGGTCACCACTCGGGGGCGTGCCTTTGGCCCACACCTCCATAGGCTTCGGACAGGGCCACGCCCCCGGAGCCCTTTAATGGACCACCCTTCGCTCACTGGGGGGGAGGTGATGGCGTTCCTCCCCCCCCACATCCTCTTAACCCCTTCTTACCAATGCCTACCGCCACACGAGCAATCGCTCGCCGCCAATACTCTCATGCCTGAAACCAATCCCTTACCCCCTTTGCTATATCAGTAAGCCACATGTCATTTCCCGCATCTGAAAGATGCGAGCCATCAAGCCAAATATCATTTCCCGCATCCGAAAGATGCACGCCATCAAGCCAGTAGAGGGCCTCGCAGTTGCCCGGGTGGTCAATGACCCACCCACCCAGGGCTGCCACTCTACGCACCACCGCCCGATCCAAGGCTTTCCCTAGCCCTATTTATGGCTATCGGGCACCTGCTCTCTCTCCAAACCCTGCTTTCCATCAACAAGGCCCAAAGAATGGTGATGTTTGGATAAGAGGCCTTCAGTTCCTCAAAGTCACTAAAGATATGCCACATCAAGTCGGCTGCCTTTCTGTAAGCTAAATCCTTTTCGCCTAATTGGATAACTGAAGCATCTGGGGGCCCTCCGCTGCCGCTCTGGCCCTAATTGCGGGCCACATTTCGGCCCAGCGCCTTCCCTCCGATAGATCCAAGATATATTGATGTAGTTAAGGTGCGGCCCGAGACCGGAATTGATGGCGCGGACCCTGGCCCAATGCACAATGCTGTGTCCGATTATCCAGATGCACGCCCTCATAGCTCCTGCACCCTAGGGTCCCCGTTAATGGCATGGTTTCTATCCCAGTGGACAGTGCAGGGCCTATAATCCAAATGTGCACCACAACGTCACCTGAAAGCAAAAGAAGGTAACGAAGCCAGGTCAAGTATACTGTGAACAATCACAAGGTCTTACGAATATATCCCTTAAATGCATCAGACTTCCACTGCCCCCAAGTCCTTCATCCTTTCAGCTGAGAGTCCCAAATGCAGTGCTGTGGTGGCGGCCCCAATCCTAAAGGAGTTAGCCGCGAATTCAGCTGAGGATAAACTGCAGGCAGCAATCTCCCTTCGCATAATGCGCGTGGACTGATGCCGTGCAAGGCGGGAGCCATCCAAATGTATAAGGAATAGAGCTGAGACGGTTGGTCTCACGTACATGAAATGTTTAGTGTCCTTTACTGCTGATCGGTTTTGAAACATTGGTCATGCAGGACTAAATTGGATCTGAACAAGGTCAGGTCTCTCAAACTAACCCCGGGCAGTGGATTCTGGTTGGCCCTTACAAACCACTTCGCCAATGCGCATAGCGCCAAAGGCAATGGAGTATGCAGCTGAAAATAATCGGGCCTTGTCCTCGGACCAACAGATACTTCTTATTTTATTTTATTATTATTATTTTAATTTTATTTAATTATTTATTTATTTTGGAATTGGCATAGAATGTAATAAGGGCCTTCTACCATCACTTTTAGGAGGCTGCAGCCTGCGCCAGCCCTACAACAACAATAATAATAATTGTCAAGGCTGCCTCAAGTCTCAGCTCACAAAAGACCAACGCCTATGTCTTCTTATATACAAAAGTGTTTGTCAGGGGTTCAGGGAGAGAGGCACAGGGTAGGCAGGAGATGGAGAGCGATGGGGAGGAATTCCAAGCCAGCGAGGAAGAGGATGACAATGACTCAAGAGATTCCATGAGTCTTTCCAGCGAATCAGAGGATTCCCAGAAGGGGGCGCCGGTGGTCAAGGCCAGGGAGCCCCAGGGGGGAAGTGTCAGGAGCAGGGTGCCAGCGGAGGATCCCAAAGTGGCAGCTGGGCGTCAGGACCAGCCTCCCCACCAGAGTGCAGCGAAGGGGGTGGAGTTTCCAGTGTGTCAGAGGAAGCAGCTCCAGCAGCAGAGAAAGGAGGGGGTCAGAGCAAGCCGCCCTCCCGGAAGGGAGGGGAGCAGTGAAGGGAGTAGTGTAACTGTCAAAAGGAAAGTTAGAGGGTTGGCGCGCGCGCCTAGTTCAAATGTAGAGGCGCGCGGAAGTGCAGGGAGCCCGGAGGAGGGGCCAGGTCCCAAAGCCCGCAGGAGGGGGGGAAGAGCAGTCTGATTCCGCGTCAGAGGAATCCAGGAGGGGCGAAACCCCAGCGGGCAGAAGGACCCTGCGGAAAAGGAAGGAGAGAAAGAGGTGGAGCAGCGCAAGTCTCTTAAATTGGTGCAGGGGAGGGACTGACTCAGAGGGGACTTCAGCGGTCTAGCGTAAGAGACGTAAGGCTGCGCGCCTAGGATGTCAAGCAAACCATGAACTGCAATAAACACCTTTGTATATAAGAAGACATAGGCGTTGGTCTTTTGTGAGCTAAGACTTGAGGCAGCCTTGACAGTAAGTCCCCTCTCAAAACAAAAAACCGCAACATTTTGTTGCACAGCTCACGAAGTTTGGCAGCAATGACTACTGAGGAGCAGATAGCGTCCCTGCAAAACGCAGTCACCGAGCTCTCCACTGCTGTCGTGGTTTCTCAGAAGACAGTTGCTGAAGCAGAAGCGCGATGCCAGGATCTGCAAGCCAGGTGGGATCGGGCGTGCAGAGAGGGGTTCCCGGGGTCCAGATCAGAGGGAATCGGACTCGGACGGAGGGGGGGCAATTTAGTAGCCCACTTCGATGGGAACCTGAAGCATTATCCCAATTTCAGAGCAGACGTCGTATACGCACTGCATTTGCTTCGAAAAGACTTCAAAGATGAGGAGGAAAAAGTGGGGTTTATTGTGTCTCATCTGCATGGGGAAGCAAGAAACTGGTTACGCAATTTGTGGCGCGAAGATGGTCTTGCACGCAGGGACTCTGATGAATTTCTCAAAGCCATGGACGCTTGCTTCCAATCTACTGTTGACGTTGATGTGGCACGCCAGGAGATGCATGGATTGCGGCAGGGCAAGGCTACAGTGCGTCAGTACCATTCTCGCTTTTTTGCATTGCTGAATGTGCTGGGCTGGGAAAAGGACTCCCTGGCAGTGAGGGACTTGTTTTGGGAAGGGCTTCATGGCTCAGTGAAAGATGAGCTGGCTAGGGGGACAGACCTCAAACCCTAGCAGAAGTCGTGCAGAGGGCACTCACGATAGGGGTGCGCCAAGAAGAACGCCCTTGGCACAGGGAGGAGGGGCGTCACGTCCGCCCACCAGCTAGAGCGCCTCCTTTTCCTTCCAGGGACTTGGAACGTTCAAGCCTTTCGCCTGTGCTGGCAGCGGGCGAAGAACCGATGGAACTGGGTGGTGCAAAGGCTCAGACAGCTGCCGGAGCCTCAGCGTCAGGAGCAGTCAAAGCGAAGCCTCCTAGAGGGACCAGGAAGTGTTACATCTGTGACAGTGCACGGCACATGGCTAAAGAGTGTCCCCAGAGGCTCCAGAAGCACACTGCAGCCTTAGCAACAGTAACAGGGGAAGCTTTCCAAGGGGAGCAGTTTCAGGGAAACGAGAATGCCTGGTTGGAGGGAGAGACGCTGGGGCTCCGCCAGGCAAGTCAGTGAAGCAGTCCCCAGCGCTTTGCAGCCTACAGACCCCTTACCACCTAAGCCAGTGGTGCAGCTCACTGCTACTCTCCAGCTGCCTAATGGACTCACCCTGGAAGTCCCCATTACGATTGACTCAGGGAGCAACGCAGACTTCGGGGGTGCAGTTCGTCAAGCAGCATCGCATAGCGCTACTACCAGCCACGCTGCCTCTGAATGTGGTCACTGTAGATGGCAGGAAGTTGCTGGGTGGGCAAGTGGTACAACAGACGCCACCCATGCTGCTGAAAATTGGGAATCATCGCGAGGTCATCAGTTTCAATGTCACCCAACTGTCAGACACGCCCATAGTGTTAGGCATGAGTTGGCTGGATAGACACAGCCCATCCTTGGCGTGGTACCAGCGGCAGCTCACCTTTGGCTCGTCCTACTGTGCACAACATTGCATCCAGATCGGCCAGGACGAGGAGGGCCAGGAGGAAGGGCAACAGCTGCATCTAGGCATGGTGCAGGCAGTGCCCCACAAGTACAAGGGGTTTTTGGAGGTCTTCTGCGAGAAGGAAGCTGACCAATTACCACCCCACCGGCCCTACGACTGTGCAATTGACCTCTTACCAGGGGCGACGCTGCCGACTGCGAAGCTGTATTCCATGTCTGAAGATGAGATGCAGGAGCTCAGGGAGTTCATAGATCACAATTTGAAGCGGGGATTCATCCGAGAATCCAAGGCAGTGGGGGCAGTCCTGTGTTTTTCGTGAAGAAGAAGGACACGCCCCAAAAACGGCTCATTGTGGACTATAGGGCCATAAACTCGATGACAAAACCCAAGGCTTTCCCCATGCCCAAGATTGACGACCTGCTCGCGACGGTGAGGAAGGGGAGGATCTTCACCAAGTTGGATCTACGCGGAGCCTACAATCTCATACGCATGAGGGAAGGTGACGAGTGGAAGACGGCCATGTTCACGCCGCTGGGCACCTATGAATACAGAGTTATGCCGCTTGGTCTCCAAGGTGGCTCCCACTGTTTTCAAGCATTCATGCACCACGTGCTAGCAGGACTCCTCTACAAGAAGTGCGTATGTTTTCTCGACGATATTCTGATCTTCTCGGAATCGCAGGAGACTCACGAAAGAGACGTAAAGGAGGTCCTGCAGAGGCTACGGGAGCACAGACTCTACGCCAAGCTGGAGAAGTGCCAGTTCGACGTGACGGAGGTGGATTTCCTGGGCTACCGGCTGTCCGACAAGGGATTAGCCATGGACAGCGCCAAGGTCCGCGCGGTGTTGGACTGGAATAGCCCGCGCAATCGGAAGGAGGTCCAGCGGTTTGTCGGCTTCGCCAACTTTTACCGCAAGTTCATCAGGGGTTTCGCGAAAGAGACGGCAGCTATCACGGACACCCTCAGTTCCAAGAAGAAAAAGTTCACCTGGACGGACCAGGCGGAGCAGTCCTTCAGGAGACTTAAGAGTCTCTTCGCGTCCGAAGACCAGCTGCTACACGTGAATCCCGGCAGGCCCATGCGGGTTGAGACTGACGCATCTGACAGAGCAGTGGGGGCCGTCCTCTTGCAGGAAGATTCGCAAGAGAACTGGAGGCCCTGCGCTTTCTATTCCCGGAAGCTCAGCAAGTCGGAACAGAACTACACCATCTGGGACAGGGAGTTGCTGGCCATCCACGCGGCTTTCAAGGCGTGGCGGCACTTCCTCATCGGAGCCAAGCACACCGTGCAGGTCCGCACGGACCACAAGAACCTAGAGTATTGGCGCACGGCGAAGCTCCAGAGCCAGAGGCACATGAGATGGGCGGAGTTCTTTGCGGATTTCGATTTCCGGATAGAGTATATCCCGGGAGACAACAACGTCATAGCGGATGCGCTCTCCAGGAAACCGCAGTATCTTGAGGAAGCGGCACCAGTGGCAGCCAGGCACATTTTTGCACCGCAAGCGTGGGCGTGCGCTTCTGCCGCCGTGGACCTGGACGCGGTACGACGCGCGCTACAGACGGATCCGTTTGCACAATCCAAGATGGAGGAGGTGCGAAGAGGGACAGCAAAGGACGGCGAATTCCAGATACGCGACGGCCTGCTGACCCGCAAAGGTGCTCTCTACGTCCCGGGAGACGATCTCCGAGCGAAGGTTTTACAGCAGTTACACGACGCCCCCAGCGCGGGTCACTTCGGCAAGGAGAAGACGGCGGACTTAGTAGCCAGGGACTTTTGGTGGCCCCAGATGCGGGGAGAAGTCGCGGATTACGTCGCCAGGTGTGACACTTGTCAGAGGTCCAAGCCAGTGCACAAGAAGCCAGCGGGATTGCTGGAACCGTTGGAGACGCCACTGCAGCCGTGGGAAAGGGTGGCGCTGGACTTTGTCACTGATCTGCCCAGTTCGCGGGGCAAGACGGCGGTGCTTGTGGTTGTAGATCTGTTCACCAAGATGGCGCATTTCATTCCTTGCGCGAAGGTGGCAACAGCGGAGCAGACCGCCAGGCTATTCATAGACCACGTGTTCCGGGTGCACGGCTTACCACGGTCCATTTTGTCCGACCGGGGTCGCCAATTCATTTCCAGTTTCTGGCAGAAGCTCCTGGGCATCCTGAATGTCAAGATCAACTTAGCGTCGGCGAGACACCCGCAAACCAACGGCCAAGCGGAGAGGGTCAACGCCATCATGCAGCAGTACCTGCGCTGTTACGCCAATCAGAAGCCGGCAACTTGGGTGGACTACTTACCGATGGCCGAGTTTGCCTACAACAACACGAAGCACGCGTCAACGGGGGGACACCGTTCTTCACCAACAATGGGCGACATCCCAGAACATTCCCGGCGTTGGAGACAACGACGCAGGGGAGTCGCAGGGAGCGGAACATTTAGCAGCAGAATTGCAGGAGGTCCACGAGGAGCTACGACGGCACTTGGAACTGGCTAAACACGCCTACAAAGTGCAGGCAGACAGGCACAGGAGGGCAGGAGAAGACATCCAGGTGGGGGACTGGGTATGGTTAGCAGCCCAGGCGGTGCCGGCCAAGTCGTTAGCTAAGAAGAAGCTAGGACACAAACAGCTAGGGCCATACCAAGTTGAGGGCAGGATCAATCCCGTAGCTTTTCGGTTGACCCTCCCAGAGGATTCCCGAATGCACCCGGTCTTTCATAGGTCGGTGCTTACACCCTACAAGGCCCCACACAGATTTCAGGAGCCAGGGACGGCACCAGACCCACGTAGGAAGTCACCAGGGGGAAGTCACCGAGGACCCCGACACTCAACGAGGTCACGGAAATTCTGGACTCGAGATGGGGGGAGGAGGGAGTGGAATACCTCCTCGCCAGGGAAGGTACCCCGGCCAGCGCCAACAGTTGGGTGCCAGATTATGCTCTGGAGGAACCTTTGCTTAAGGACGAGTTCCATGCACTCTTCCCACACAGGCCCATGCCAGAGGAGTATTTTGACGACTGGCTTTACCCCCACACTTTCAGGCAGCACCTTCCGGGGGTTCTCCTCCGCAGAGGAGACCACGCCGCAATCGAGCCCTCCAAGGGGATCGTGCTCGGGGTTGGACACGGACCGCTCTTATTGGTGGGACGATCAACCAGAAGTGGGGTGGCGAAGGGGGCCTTGGCAAGCAGCTTCGCCTGAAGTAACAGGGGAGGGAAGGGTTTGGAGGTGTTGGGGAGGACCCCGGTTTCGAGCACTCCTACACTGAACTGGAAGCAGAGGAGATCGACGTCGACGAACTGTATCCAGCATCTACCCCCGCTACAACGAAGCTCCCGGAACCTGCGCCCGAGCAGCGGGAGGGGGAAGGGGGCTTCGAGGGGGATGGATGTCAGGGGTTCAGGGAGAGAGGCACAGGGTAGGCAGGAGATGGAGAGCGATGGGGAGGAATTCCAAGCCAGCGAGGAAGAGGATGACAATGACTCAAGAGATTCCATGAGTCTTTCCAGCGAATCAGAGGATTCCCAGAAGGGGGCGCCGGTGGTCAAGGCCAGGGAGCCCCAGGGGGGAAGTGTCAGGAGCAGGGTGCCAGCGGAGGATCCCAAAGTGGCAGCTGGGCGTCAGGACCAGCCTCCCCACCAGAGTGCAGCGAAGGGGGTGGAGTTTCCAGTGTGTCAGAGGAAGCAGCTCCAGCAGCAGAGAAAGGAGGGGGGTCAGAGCAAGCCGCCCTCCCGGAAGGGGAGGGGAGCAGTGAAGGGAGTAGTGTAACTGTCAAAAGGAAAGTTAGAGGTTTGGCGCGCGCGCCTAGTTCAAATGTAGAGGCGCGCGGAAGTACAGGGAGCCCGGAGGAGGGGCCAGGTCCCAAAGCCCGCAGGAGGGGGAAGAGCAGTCTGATTCCGCGTCAGAGGAATCCAGGAGGGGCGAAACCCCAGCGGGCAGAAGGACCCTGCGGAAAAGGAAGGAGAGAAAGAGGTGGAGCAGCGCAAGTCTCTTAAATTGGTGCAGGGGAGGGACTGACTCAGAGGGGACTTCAGCGGTCTAGCGTAAGAGACGTAAGGCTGCGCGCCTAGGATGTCAAGCAAACCATGAACTGCAATAAACACCTTTGTATATAAGAAGACATAGGCGTTGGTCTTTTGTGAGCTGAGACTTGAGGCAGCCTTGACAGTGTTTATTGCAGTTCATTGTTTGCTTGACATCCTAGGCGCGCAGCCTTACGTCTGCTACGCTTAGACCGCTGAAGTCCCCTCTGAATCCGTCCCTCCCCTGCACCAATTTAAGAGGCTTGCGCTGCTCCACCTCTTTCTCTCCTTCCTTTTCCGCAGGGTCCTTCTGCACAGTATATTGGAATTCAAATTATTTCATTCAGCTTGCGGTGCTCTGAGGAGCTGTGTCATTTGCTCTCTGCCTAGGCATTAAGTTTTATAATTTGGTATAGTCAATTCATAGTTATAAGGAAAAAGAGATCCGGGTTTTATATCTTTGCATACAGGTTTATAGGGAATCTAAAGTAAATAGCTCATGCCTCTTCTACGTTCATCTCTTTCTGGTATTTCATTTGTTAGTTTATAAGTATATATTTAATCTGGCAATTTAATTCATTTGGTTGATTTTGATAATAGTGCTTAAGGGCTCTTTGGAGCTTTGCTTGGCTTATAGGTTTGTTGCATAAGTCAATTTATCATTTTTCACTGCTGTATTGCTGGGTTACAATTTATAATTCTACCTCTAGCTTGCTGCATAGCTGCTTACATTATCAAAGGTTCTCTTCTGTTTATTATAGACTGAGTATTCCTCTGAATACATTGCTTTGAGGTGTGGGCTGGTATTTTGGACAGCTATCCAGTGCAGATAATACTGAGCTACGGTGATATTGTTTGCAGCTAAATACAATTTGTTAGAGATTAGTTAGGCATCTTTGGGTCCTTTAAACTTACCAGTGCAGACAATACTGAACTACAGTGATATTGCTCGCAGCTCACGCATATATTCCAAGCTAGTTGGCGTTGATTTTACAGAACCAGGCTAATTAAGGGGTATCAAACTATGTCTGCTCAAGAGAAGCAGCAAAATGCTGCTATAACTGGGGTGGCACGAGGGAACCAGGAGGGGTCCCAGGCCTTCGTAGTGCCTAGTAACCCATAGGCTTTGGCACAGTTGTTGAATGCTGTCAGGGGTTCAGGAGCAGAGGCAAGGGCAAGGGAGGAAACAGAGAGCGAGGGGGAGGAGGCAGAAGAAAAGATGAGTGATGACGACGACCCGAGATCTCCGAGTCTTTCCAGTGAATCAGAAGATTCACAGAAAGGAGCACCAGTGGCCAGGGCAAGGGGGGAGCCTAGGGGGACACCCCAGGAAGATAGAGCCAGAGGGGACTCAGAGGGGAGCAGTTGGAAATCGGGACCAACGTCACCGCCAGAGAGCAGGGAAGAGGAAGGGCACCAGGGATCAAGCGCTGGCAACTCACAACAGGGGGGAGGGCACGAGTCAGGAGTGGCCACACCTCCATCGGGGAGCGAAGAAACGGTCAGACGGAAGGTGGAAGGTTGGGCGCGCGCGCCAAGTTCAAATGCACAGGAAGGTGGCGCAGTAGGCAGCCCGGAAAGGGAGCCAGGTCCCAAAGCCCGCCGAAAGGAGGGAGAAGAGTCAGGGGAGTCAGCGTCAGCGTCAGAGGAATCCCGGAAGGAAGAGACCCCGGGGGGGCAGAGGGACCCAGAGAAGAACAGTCAGGCGGAAAAGGTGGAGCAGGGCTAGGATATTAAGTTGGTGTACAAGGGGCGGAGACTCAGACGGAGCTTCGCCGGTCTAAGCATGAGACGTAGAGTTGCACGCAGCAGCTTGAGAATGGAAACTGTAACTCAATAAAGACTTTTGCTTAATGATCGCTGGCTAGCGTGATCCTCTGTGAGCTAGGATCTGGAAGCAGCTCTGACAGTAAGCTCCGTCTCCTAAATTGTGGGCATCTACGGCCTCGCGGAGAGGAGAGAAAGCGGGTGCCTACTAGCGAGCTCACGAACGGCAGACAATATGACGGCCGAACAGCAGATAGCGGAACTCAGAGAAGCAGTGTCACGACTGAATGCCGAGGCTCTTGCATCCAGGAAGAGAGAGGAGGACGCAGCTGCCGCCTACAGGGATCTCCAGGTCAGGTTGGAAGTGCTTACGAAGCAAGGGCAACTGACACCCAAACCGGAGGGGATTGGGTTGGGGAGACGAACAGGCGGTCTGGTCTCTCACTTCGATGGGAATTTGCAACAGTACCCCAACTTTAGAGCAGATGTAATGTGTGCACTGCAACTGCTGAACAAAGACTTTAGAGATGAGCAAGAGAAGGTGGGATTCATCATGTCCCATTTGCATGGAGATGCTAAAGCATGGCTGCGCAAT